GCCTAAAGCACCAAGAAAGAAGGTAAATCTAAAATCAAAACTAGCAAAAGTTCCACCATAAGGATACCAAAGAAGGATGATGGCACCCTTAAGGAAAGCAAAACACCTTCATCACCTAAAGAAGCCGATCCCCTTGACCAAATCCTAAAAACAAAGGCTCTAACAAGGGAGTGTTATGGCAAGATGCCAGGTATGGATCAAACTTAGGAAGAGAGAGTTGTTCCCCTAGCCTCTAAAAGGGAAGTTTAGATAAAGAGCTATAGAGGAACCAACTCAAAGAGTCCATTAGGACCAATAACTTTGTGAACAATCTACATTTAGCATCGCTCACCCACAACATAGGTTAGTTCTTGTTACCCGTATGTTTTACTATTACTCTAACCTTACCTGTTGCTTTTTTAGTTAGACCAAACAAAAAAAATCAAAGGATGAAAAATATGCAAAGGAACAAGTAATGGTGGAAGAATGAAGGAGTGATGAGGGCGAGAAGATCGAAATGCCCTTTGTAATGACCTCTATCATTAACTCTAACTAAAGTCAACAAAACATGATGCTCTCAATTATTAAGGATCAATTATGGCTATATGAGAAATAAATTTTATGAAAACTATTTTTGAATTTGGGATCCCAATAAATCAATAAAAAATCATAAAAGTAATTTTGCTAGTATATTTTTAAGAATCAAAGTATAGATGATAAGTGTAAACATAAAAACTAGAAATAGCATAGAGAATAGGATGAAATAGGGACAAAACAATCATTTTAGCACTTCTGTGCGTGTCTATCTTGGCTAAAAGTCTACCCACCTTGACTAACGCTACATGACTCCATCTGCTGTGGATAAATCACAATCCACTATGGTACGTGGTATAGAGACCATTTGTCATGCCTCGAAAATAAAGAGTAATCAACAAGGTGCAAAGCACTTCGCATATCCTCATAAACCTCAAAATGAAAATTTATTCCATTTTTCAAAAATAGAATCATATAATATGAAAGTTCTAACAATTTGATACTAATTATCATAACAAAGTTTTAATATTTTTGTAAAAATTTTGACAGAACCTCCCCTATAAATAGGATCTTCATGGATTTTTATATAAACTTCCCTTTTTGAGGCTTGGGGAACAACTCCAACTAACCAATCTTAGTTTGTGCCTAGCATCTTATCATGGCACTTCTCTATTAAAGCCTTTGTTTTTTGGGCTCTGGTTAAGGGATTGGCACATTTTGGTGATAAAGGAGGTTTTACTTCATAGTTGGAGTTTTCCTCACAGGTACAACCATCCTTCTTTGTCATTAGTATAGTGAGAATGGAATATACTTATTGCCATAAATGTAGTCTTATCCTAAGAGGGCTTGGTATTGGGTGGCAAAGTTGATCATAAAGAAGGCTGCTAAAGCAAACTTGGTGCCCACAATGATCATCTTAGACTCATCTCCATTAAATGATGCCTAATCATATTTATAGGGATCATGTCTTGTTACATCTTGTCCACTTTCCTAAGTAATTTCACTAGTAGCATGTTGACGATAGAAACATTATTCACTAGCATCTGAGAGATAGAAACGTTATCTAGATATGTTTATATCTTGAGTAGTTTGAGGTGTTGTATCATGTGTGCAGCAAGTTTTCCATTATGATTTGTTAAGACTTTCCTAAATTTTGAATGATTGAAATTTAGGAAGCCCATTCCATTGCTAGTAGTTCTAGATACTTAAACTCAAGACTAATAGCAATCTTATTAGTGAAGGCTTCCACCCTCTAGTTAGCTAGTATTAAGGCTTCCTGGGGTCTTTCAAAAGTATCTGAGCTATAACATTCTAGTATTCCTTGTCCTTGTCACCATCCTTCAAAGGATTTTTTGTTTGGTTTAGCTGAAAAGAAATAAGCAAGGTTAAAGTAATAGAAGAAAACAAGATTAAATAGAACCAACATATGTTAAGGGTAAGCGATGCTAAATGTTAACCTAAAATTTTTGACAAGATTGTTGCTCTTAAGGGACTCATTTGAGTTGGCATGCTTTATGGCTCCTAGTCTAAACTTCCGTTTTGAAGGCCTAGGGAACAACTCCCTCTTACCAAGCTTAGTGTTTACCTAGGATCTTGCCACATCACTTCTTTATGGGAGCCTTTGTTTTTAAGTTTTGCTCAAGGGGATCAATGCCTTTAGGTGATAAAGAATGTTCCACTATATATTTGGAGTTTTCCTAAAGGGTACTACTAAACTTTCTTACCATCCTTATGGCAAAACTGCTACTAGTTATGGTTTTATTTCTACTTTCCTTAGTACTTAAGTGGATTTTTGTCCTACCATACAGTTAGTTTCTTAAGGAGTAGCTATCCTATACCTAGGATAGCAAATATTTCACTTAATAGTTGAATTTCCCTAGCATCTTACTTAAAGTGTCCTAGACTTGCTGCTTTAGCTTGGTGGCTATTTTTCAAGTTCCTTTATTATTCTTCTCTAAACATTCTATAGGTATTATAGCTAGTACTCATTCTTTTTGGAATCCCTTCTGGTCATGCGATACTCCCAAGCATGATTTGTTCTGGCTGATGCTCAGTTCTTATGTTTGCTTAACTTCACTATATTAATGATTTCCACTAAAGGGAAAGGATTCTTATTTAACACAATTGCCTCTTTCTTCTACTTTGAGAACTTGAGAATTCCACAATTGATGAATTCTTAAATAGTAGTCTTAAAAGCCTAAGACAAGTTAGGGTGGAATAGTTCTGGGAGTGATGGTACTTGTAATATTCCCTCTCTTGTCGCTCCTCTTTGGATGGGAGTTTTTGGTTTCCTAGGAGTGAGATGAACTTCTTTGAGAGGAAGCTAAAGACTTATCTTTCTTAGTTGTGTGGCAATGTTAGATTGTTTCTTACTTTCTTTAACCTTAAGGGCCAGAAGTGTGGAGCAATCTCAACTTCATGTTATTCGAGTGGCTAAACTTTCTACATCGGAAGGTGAATCTTGCAATGTTTTCTAAGGTCAAGGCACCATCTACTCTCGAGCATAGCATGAAAATTGTGGCCTTGGACTAGGTATATACATTTATCTAACCACCTCTCTAATGGCTTTTGGGTCTACTAAGGATAGTTATCTTACTATATGAATGTCAGCTCTATTCCCTCTTTTAAAGCATTAGCCCTTAAGCCTTTAACACCTTGCAAAGGACTAACTTTGTAAGTAGTTTGGTTACTTGTATCGAGTTTTTGCTTCTTACATTAGAGTGTCCACATTAGCTAGCCAATCCTTGTTAGTGTGGTAAAGTGTAACATTCACAGGGCAATGGTTGAGGGCTAACTGACTCCTTAATACTAAAAGGTTATCCCTCATGCCTCTTACGTGTGGGCTCTTCTCTGAATTGCCTTGCTAAGGGGTCTCCAATGGATTGCTATATGGATCGCGAATTGATTGAGAAAACATTGCATGGTCTTAGCTATCACCTAGCACAATTTAGCCTACTCTTTTTGCTCTTGTTCTTCCTGTTGTTAATGAAAATATTCCTATTCTTGCAATGTGAGAATGTAGATCCCGTCCTCCTCCTCTACCTTTTGCATTTGTTGAGTACCAAACATAGCTTTCTCATTAGGGTCATGTGGGGCAAGGTTGTAGTGATGTTAAGTCAGTTAAGTTTGCTTGGGGCAAGTTCAATTTGTGCTAAGTATTGAAGGAGTTGCAAACAGATCTTAAGTTATGCACTTGTTGCTTTTTATAAAGAGGCTACAACAATATGCTCCTTCAAATTTGAATTTCATTTGCCAAGAAGAGAAATAATTGTTCACACAAATTTGAGAATTGTAGGGGCACTTTGTTGAGGGAGAGCGGCTACCATTCCATCAAAATGGGACATTTCATCAAATCCTCCAAGGTCCAACTTTAATGGATTAGACTTGGCAGCATGGTTCCCTTTGAACTGGACCATAGTAGATTTTAGGGAGAATGACAATTAAGGACCTTCTAAGAACATTAATCCCAATTACGGACCGTGAAATTTTAAAATCTCAGTTAAGGATCATGGTCCTTAATTGTGATAAAAAAAATGTAGCTTGTGAGATGGAATTCACTATTGTCATTTGGGAATTCACTAACCTAACTTGAGAAAATTTATAATGTATATTGTAAAAATATGAAACCCCACTTGGGAATGGAATGTTTAACAAAAAGTGTCACTTGAGAATTCACTAACTAGACTTGAAAAAATTTCTAACGTATATTGTGAAAATATGAAACTCTACTTAGGAATCGATTGTTTAATAAAAAAATCAATTAGGACAAGTCACTTTTTATTAAACAATTGATTCTTAAGTAGGGTTTCATTTTTTCACAATATACGTTAGAAATTTTTTCAAGTCTAGTTAGTGAATTCTCAAGTGACGCTTTTTGTTAAACATTTCATTCCCAAGTGGGGTCTTATGTTTTCACAATATACGTTAGTAATTTTCTCAAGTTGGGTTAGTGAATTCTCAAGTCGCGTTAGTGAATCCCACCTCATAAATTACATTTTTTTATCACAATTAAGGACCATAGTCCTTAACTGAGATTTCAAAATTTCATGGTCTGTAATTGAGATTAATAATCTTAGAAGGTTCGTAATTGTCATTCTCCCTAGATTTTACCCTCTGTCCTAATGCACTATTTTGGTCCAAACAGATGGTATTTTTTTAATAATAAAACTCTGACACCAGCTTTGCATCAATTTTAAAAAGGATGTTGAAAGATTCTATTAAGAAACTTTGGTTTAAAGTTTTTTGAGTTTAAGCGTAATTATGAATTTATGTACACTTAATTTAATAAAAAAATTTATGTATACTTAATTTAATAAAAATTGAAATTAAAGTTAAAACTTAATTTTACTGACACGTTGGTAATAATTTATATATAAGTTTGCGGCTTTTATGTCCCTTCTTAAACGGGGTAAAAACGCTATAAAATAACCATCGATAATTTTTTTCTTTTTTAAATGGTAGAGACTCTTATCTTTTATGTTCTCCAGGGACGAGTATCTGGTTTTTTCTTCATCACATTCATTTTTGGATAAATATGCCTTTACCACACTTAAACCACGGACTTGCTTGAATCCACTGGTAAGTATTTATTTATATACATGCTGCTCTTGGTGTTTTACATACTTACATGCATTTTTGCTACCTTGCAATTTAGGTGATAGATGCTTTTGTTGAGATCTTTACTGACATTGAACGAAAGGAAAAAGCTAATCCTCGTCATTGGTATCTTCCGGTGTCATTTTCGGTGATTTCTTAATCCTTTTTAAATTAAATATAAGATGTTAGTTTTGCAATTCAAAACTGTTTCATTGACAAGAACTTTTTATTTGTTCATCCATGATGTAATTATAGAGAATAGCAGATGGTGGCTACGTAAGCTACTTCCTCGACTTTGTCAAACGGAATAATATAAAAGAAAACTACATGTCTGATCACTTGGTTGACTGTGAAAAGGTACGTACTATGTTCCATTTATTTATAATTTCTTATTCTTATATATAATTACATTTTTTGACTATATATTAATTTAATTTTTTATTTCATTCATCACAGATATTCATTCCGGTTCATGTTGGGCAAAAGTTAGATGGACATTTTTATTTATACATTATTGATTTAAAGAATAAATTGGTTGAAATATGGGATTCTTTATTGGGTGATGAATATATGACTAAAATAGAACGTGACGAGACAACTCAAAATTTGGTAAGTGTTAGGTGATTGTAATATTCATATCATTAATTGATTGATTATTCTCTTTTTTAATAATTAATGTTTTATGGTCAGCTGATTGCCATGGAAAATCTCTTCAAGGATACTACGTTCACAAAATTTGATCAGACGATGGCGAATAATATTCCATTACAGTCCAACAAGTGAGTTAACGATTTTTATTTTAAATTATAAGGCTTACGTTAAAAAACGGGAAGCATTCATCACAATGTCATCGTCATTATCTTTTTGATCAAAATGTAGGTATGATAGTGGCATATTCGTTATTAACTTTATGCAACAAATGATTCATTCAATTCAGGTACTGTCAATAGTAAATTAGTTACCACATATCAAATACTCCTTCAAGTCTTTATTATAGAATATTTTCAATTGTTTCATGTATATTAAAAGAAGTTAGTTTTTTTTAATATCATAAAAAAATGAAAGATATTTTTATTTTTACTCTTAGTTTTAAATAATAATACAACTACATTAAATACATTTATGTTAATCAAGAAGGGGTAAAATTGAAAAAAGTGATTTAATTATTACAAGGTATCCTATATTTTGGACCAAAAATTGCTGAATCTTGTTCTACAGTTACTGTTTATTCATGTTTTCACATATATGATATGGTTAGCAATGCAGGTTAACAGCAATGAAGGACGGCTGAATCTAGCTCTACAGTTACTTAACAGTAACTTGAATAAGGAAAAAGCAAATCTATATTGCAAAGCAGAAAGTTCACAAGTAAAAGCAAAAGAAGATTCATATATGTCTCGAGTTAAGAGAAGGCGTGCTAGCCCTGAAAATGTTGGAAGAGAGGCATATATAGAATTGGATGGTTCTAATAGAAAAGTTAAGAGAGACCATGTTGATTTGATAACAGGTACGTACAATATGAACTTCAACTGTCAGGCCGATTTTTACTGTCGTCTATCAAAAATTTTGACTATATATATATATAAACAAACATTATCATACTAAACAAGATTGAAATTTAAATGTGATATGTTAATTTTCTTTTTTATTTTTATCACTTCCCGTGCAAGAAATATGTGATTCCTGCTATGACCTGATGTTGAGTATTGATTACTGCTATTCTTGTTGCTAGGATGTTCTAAAGGTTACGTATTACCAGCAACAAATTTAGTAGGGGAAGAGTTTCAAGAATATATTGAACAAATATGGAAGTGGATAATCGAAGATAAGGCGTCAGCAATTGGGATATGGGGAATGGGAGGGGTGGGGAAAACAGCTTTAGCAACTCATATCCATAACAAGCTTTTAGAAGAAGTAAGTGGTGACTTTGATCATGTCATTTGGGTAACTGCATCACAACATCAAAGCATTTGCCAGTTGCAAAAAGTTGTGGCTGCATCAATTGATTTGGACATATCTAATGAGTATGAGGTTAAAAGAATTGCTGGCAAATTATTCCAAGCATTCAAACATATGAATAGATATGTTCTTATTTTTGATGATATTTGGGATCCTATTTTTCTAGAGGAGGTCGGATTACCTACTTCATATAACCAAATTACATTGATTTTGACAACCCGTTCATTGGAAGTATGTCAAGTCATGAATTGCAAGAATATCATAAAAGTAGAACCTCTCCGGGACATTGATAGTTGGGCTTTGTTTGAAAAGACTATGGGAGTCAATGAAGGATTGTCATTGGAAGTTGAGAAGATAGCACAGGATATTACAAATAAATGTGAAGGATTGCCCCTTGCTATTGTTATAATTGGAAGAAGCATGAGGGGGAAAGAACATCAAATATTGTATTGGAACCATATCTTGAGCTGCCTTCAAGGAATGGAGGATTGGCAATATGATTTGAACAAATGGGTATTTCCTGTTCTGAGATCTAGTTATGCTCGGCTAATAAATAATAAATTACAAGAATGTTTTTTGTACTGGGCCTCACAAACTGATGAAGATGATTCTGGCCTGAATTGTCGAAATGTGATAAGAAGATTTATCTATATGGGATGGATCGATGGAATGAAGTTGATAAATAAGTATGAGGAAGGTTACAACATATTGGATAAATTAAGGAAGAATAGTCTATTGGAAGACCCATTATTATTGCGACCAAGATGGGGAATGCACAATTTACTCAAGATGATGGCTATAGGTATTGCAAAAGAGAATGATAAAATCATGGCAAAAGCTCAACTGAAATTGAACAAAATACCGGAGGATAACTTGTGGAAAGAAGATTTGGAAAAAGTATTTTTGACAGGAAATAATATACAAAATATACCAGTTGGCATATCTCCAAGATGTTCTCAACTTTCAATGCTTCTTTTAAATTGTAATACTACTCTTGAATGGATTTCAGACGATTTTTTCAACAACATGCCTGCTCTTAAAGTTCTTGATTTGTCTGAGACAGGTATTGAGTGCTTGCCAAACTCTATATCCAACTTGAGATGCCTCATTACATTATTAATCTCAGGATGTGAAAGATTGAGGTATGTACCTTCATTAGGAAAGCTACAAGGGCTCATATCATTGGACCTTTCATCTACTGCCATCACTGAAGCACCATCAGGCTTGGAATCATTGGAGAATTTTAAACATCTAAACCTACAAGACACAAAAGAGTTAAAAATGTCAACTTCAATGATATCCAAAATGACCAATCTACAATCTCTTGAGCTTAATAACTGGACTCCGAACTTAATAGAAGTTAATGCACAAGATCTACAAGGTTTAGACAAATTAGAAGCTATTACAGTCAATTTTTGTGACATCAACCAATTCAATGCTTATGTGAGTAGTTTACAAGTTAAAGATTCTGCACTTGAAACCTTTTCTCTAACTTTATCAAAGACAAAAGAATACCCCAATGATATGGTTGAAGATTTTGAAATGCAGTTAGAAGGAATCGACCCCTACCCCAGTCAAATGGTAACTTTTATGGACATAGATTTGGGAGCTAGTGTAGTGATGCTACCAGAAAATATCAGGCAGTTGTTTATATGCGAGTGTCACACTGGGCAATGGAATGAATATCCCGCATGCCGTGTCTTATCATTTTGTAATAATGATAATCTACACCGAATTGACACTTTGGATATTAGGAGTTGCGATGAGTTGGAGTGCTTGTGTTGTTACTCTACTAGTTGCTGCTTTTGCTCCTCCGTTAATCTCTTTGGGGATCTAACCCTCGAAGATTTAAAGGACTTGAAAGATATTGTGTCACCACTTGCTCCATCCTTGCATCTACCCACCATCCCCATCTTATTTTCTAATCTCAAATCTCTCTATATTACCAGATGTCACAGTATGACGATTGTACTGATACCTGAGTTATTAGCACAGCTCCGAAGTTTGGAGTTCATCAATGTGGGGTTTTGTAACTCCATGAGAGAAATTGTTGGAGAGGATCATCGCCTTTCGTGCCCTACTTTAACTCTTCCCAAATTGATCACAATGCAAATGTGGGAACTACCAGAATTGAAGTTCGTGTACAAAGAGATCCTGTACTGTCCTTCTCTCAGGAAATTTTTTGCCTCCGACTGTGATGAATTAAGTCACCCTCAGATACAGATAAATGAAAATGCACTGCAGATGGAGAAGAACCAATATTATGGACGATACTATTGGTCCATTTATTAATCAGGTCTGTAACTCCTTCAAAGTTCAATATTTTTTCTTAAAAAAAAAAAAAACTATATTGGGGGCTTTGTGTATTTGTGTCGAATTTATATTTTATTATTCGCGTGTAGCTTGTCGACAATGCTGCTTGCTATACCTTATATATTTTACATTGATGAGGGTAATATTTGATGAAATCTGTAGCGTATATGAACATTGCAATTGTGTGTTTGTCTTATTTCTCCAAATATTTCAAATATAAGTCAAGAGTTTCTTATCTATTCAACAAAATGATGAAACTAGAAAAATTATTATAATTATTAGATAGAAAGTATCATGCATTAGGTTTATCTTCTATTTCTCTCGATCCTTCTGCCTATGTGCTCTTTAATGTTTGGGTTTAAGCCTAGTTCTTCATTGTGGAGATGACTGTCAATTACAAGTTAGTTGTGTCTTTTTTTGTTTTTTTGTTTTTTTGGGTATTCGGGCTTACAAGTAGAATTTTAAATGATTATTTTATCATACTTGGCCAATTTGAAGGATATATAACTTGATGCTATGAATTTCTTATTCAATGTTCAAATTGTGTACTTTATATTTTTTGTGTTTTAGACATGTCGGGGGCTACTTCACATTTTTGTGTTTAAGACTTTAGTGATGCGATCCTATTTCTGAGATGGTACTATTGTTTAAGACCTTAGTGAATGTTTTCAATTTAAGTATTGTGATGCTTGTTGTTGCAGGGAATTGAAGGTGTGTTTGTGTTTCAGTTCATATTCCTTACAAGCATTGTCTTAACTGGCGCGCGAAAGATCAAGCTGATCTCTTCATTACAATTTTTTTTAAAAAAAAAAATAAGGATAAATATGCCTCTTTCTCTTCAATAAATTAAGAAAAAACTTCAGAATATTGCTTCTATCTTTCTCATTTTTTCTAGAAAAAATGATAGAAAAATTTATTTAAATTATATTAATGATAGATTGATATAATCCCATGAAATGGCATAATTTTCATTAAGTCCCAAAGAATGTTTCTGTCATTAAAAAATTATAGAAAATGATACTTTTGCCCTTTATTCATATTAAAAAAATTCACAACTTTTCATTCACAACTTTTGTTGATATATTAATAATTTTTATTTTTAAATTCACAACAATTTAATAACTATTTACAAGTCCTGATATGTAAGTTTTAATATGCACTAAATGTTGAAAATTCACAACTTTTTATTCATAAATTTTATTCTATATTAACAACTTTTATTTTTAAATTTGCAACAATTCAATAGTTATTCACAGCTCCCATCTACAGGTTTTGATATACATCAAGTGTTGAAAATTCATAACTTTTCATTTATAACTTTTGTTCCTATATTAATAACTTTTATTTTTAAATTCTCAATAATTTAATAGTCATTTACAATTCTGCATATGCAGATTCTGATATACATCAAGTGTTAAAAATTAATAACTTTTTATTTACAACTTTTGTTCTTATATTAATAACTTTTTTTTTAAATTTAAAATAATTCAATAGTTATTCGCAACTTTAAGAATTTTTGTTTTATTTGAGGACAATTTGACCATTTTTTTAATTCCCTAATGACAAAAAAGTTTCATGAAACTCCAAGGGAATTATACTATTTTGTGAGATTAATATATCATTTACATAATTAAATAAATTTTTTTGTCATTTTTTCTCTTTTCTAACGTCTCATTACTGTGGTCTAATACATGAAGGTTCAGGTTCAAAGTCTTTGTTATATTTATTTATTTGTCATTTTGTTAAACCCAGGTTCAATTGATTGGGCTTTGTGCACAGCATATATTCAACGAGCATGTAAATGGGTTAGGGAAAAATTATCTATCATTTACTATATTATGGTACAATTTTGCTCAAAACCTTAAAAAACGAAGCAAAAATCTCCTACATAAAACAAAACAAAGACATATGTTATTGGCACAAACTCTAATCACAATATTTTATTTTGCCACCCTTTATAGTCAGGAGGAGAGGGAAGAGATGAACTAACTTGGGTAGCTGAGAGAACAGAATTAAGAGTTGTGATAGCTTCATATAAGTTTTGAATCAAAATATATTTTTGTGATTGTAATGTGATAAAATAAAATATTATGCCTAAGATTAATTTTAATCAATTAAGACAAATTTAAAGACATGTATTTCTATGTATGCAATTCATATCAAATAAAAATTCAATTTTTCTAACATTCACGGTCATCGTTTTACTAACAAGTAAATTTTATTATGAAATGAAAATTTTTGCACCCTTTTTATGATTGATGGGTAAAATTACATTATAATATACAACTTCATAAATCTTTTTGCTTCCAACAATTTATATGTGACATAACATGTGGAATCTATAAGTCTTACTTAATAGATATCAGGTTGCTATTACAAATTTAAAATTTTTGCACCATTTTTTTAGGGTAGATGGGTAAAATTACCCTACACTTAAATTAAGAATATTAGTACCTCCTCATAATATTTTGTGATTATTTTTATACTTTAACATGATAATAAAATGTTTTTTTCCTTAAAGGACAACATAAATATAAACCTTCAGACGGTCAAATTGCAAAACATTACTTAATCACTATTGTCATCATCTAAAAATAAAATATTTGACCCTTTAAAAGTAAGCCCACTTAGTTTATTGAAAGAGGAGATACTATATATCAATAATCTCACTAACTTTATATTCATCACATAATTGTTTCATTTTTATATATCAAACAGTAAGACTTGCATATTTAATCTTTTTTTACATAATGTACTTCTAACCAATCAAATTAAGGCATGTGAATTTTAATATATTAATAATATTAAGGGAAAATTAATCTTTTCATCCTCCAACTTTTAAGTCACTTGTAATTCAATCCCTCAACTATAACTCGCTATGACTCAATTCCTCAATTAAGACTCACCTTTGACTTTATTCCTCAACTTTTGAATTACTTACAATTTAATCCCTTAACTTTTGTTAATTTTTTTTTATGTTAGCTTATACCTCACATCAATGAGTAAGAGGAGGGTATTTTAAAATAATATATGAGGATTTTTTATCCCTCTTATTTAATAAGAAATTTTTTTAAAAAAAATTAAAAAATAAAGGTCGAGTTATATGTGAATCAAAAGTTGAGGAATTGAGTCGCAGTGATTTATAGTTGAGAGACTGAGTCACAATGAGTCATAGTTGAGGGATTGAGTTACAAGTGAGTTAAAAATTAAAAGATTAAAAGATTAATTTTCTCTAATATTAATAATAAGAATTTGTTATATAATAAATAATATATAAAAAGTTCACATACATTGATTTAATTGAAAATAAATAAATTAAATATATAAAATTAAGTATGTAAGTTTTTATACGTAAGGCGAATTGCATTTACAGCAAACACCAACTAATCGCAATGAAGAATATATAAATATCATTTGAAATTATTATTAACACATGGAAGGAGAAGTACACAGTTTATGCATAATTACATAGAAAATAACTCATGAGGATTAAATAAAAATCAGTAACTTTGAGTGATACGTGATAATGACAGGAGCACAACAATATCACTCAACCGAACCCATAAAAATCATAAAAAAAGGGGTATGTTCAGAGCAATCAAATAGCTCTAGGGCAGTAGGCTTTTACATTTTATAGAGTAGGTCCTAAGCTATCAAAACATAGTGTCAAGTGTCATAACTTTTCATAAGGTTGTCTACTCAGAACTTTAAGAATATAACATTTCAGATTTGGTTTGGTTACAAAAAATCATAGTAGTGGCCATAGCATTCATCAAATCGTACACATTTAAAATAATAGCAATACAAATAGTTAGGTAGAAAGCTACTGACCTATGTTCACTCTATTATAACCTCCATTAACTTTAGACATTGTAAAAATTGCTTTGGCCAGAAGTATAACCAAAAGAAATTAAGGACTTTCTAGAAGTAAATTACAAAATGTTGTCCGGCAAGAGACTGGCTAGGGGGATGGAGGATGGTAAGAGTGTCATACTAAAGAATATTGTTTAACTGATACATATTCTCCCTAATATTGTTTGAGTGCTCCTTTTTGTATACTATCTCTGGATCATCAGATTGTTATAATTTTCCAGATATTTCACTTTATGATTAATCCACATATCCTCAGAATATTCAATTATAAATATAATACGTTTTAGCACAAAAAAAAAAAATCAGATCAAAGGACCGTGATGTTCCCACGGTTTCAAACAATTAAAGCAACTTTCTTTAGTGAAGATGGCTGTAGCGCTTCAAAAATAAAGAGTGATTAGTAAAGAATATATGTACAAACATATCATTCTTAAGCTTTAAATCACAAATTCTTTCAATTATTAAAACATAATTATATAATTACTAATTTATAACATACATGACCAGTTTTTTATTAATAAAAACTTTAATATATTTGTAAAAATTTTGACAAAACCTTTTCTATAAATAAGATCTCCCGAAACTCTACAACACAATATTTTGCATGAAAGATCATTTCAATTGAGAGTTCAGCTTCTTCCAACCAGCAGACAAGATATATAACAAAACAAAAGACCTATTTATAAACTATGTGGAGCATAAAAATAAGTTTTACAAATAAAATTTCATAATTAAACTTTACATCAAAATAAAGTTTCACCCTTAACTCCACTAATTCTGATTAGCAATAAACCCCTCAAAATTCAACGGAAGGTTTGGTGTTAGCTACATTATCTGAGATAAAAATTATTTTTAATGAATAACATTTCCAAAATAAATAGATTCAAATAATTATAAACAAATTAAAAAAAATCTCTCAATGTAACATGACCACCAAACTTGAGGTTTTTAAAAATTATACAGAACCTCGAAAAATATTAAACCATTAGATTTACAAATAAAACGAAGCAGTCTTATCATTTGCTCTTGAGAAATCAATAATTTAAACAAACAAATAAAAAAATAGAATCATTTACTAAATAAAATTAATGAAATATAAAGTTCGCAAACTAATTAAAAGCTAATAATTTGAGGACTTTACAGAATAAATAACAAGCATAAACACACAATCCACGAGAGTAAATAACCGAATGCGACTTATACTATGAAGATAGATGTGGACACACAATTTATGAAGGTAACTAACCAAACATGATCAAAGCCACGAAACAAGCATGATAATAGAACTCATGAAATTCAAATTAGTTAGTCTTTGACCACAGCATGTCAAGGGTTAATGAAACTGCCGTTAGCAATCAGTGTTTTGCTTACAGTCTTCTAAAAACCTCTTTTCAAACATACAAAAAAATAACCACTTATCAAAATACCATTTTCTCTTTTTAATAACAAACTCACATGAATTAATTAAAAATTCAATTCTTTTTCTAAAATATAAAAATTCACAATTAATGTTTCATAAACTCCTTCACCAATTTTCATTATTATTTTTATTGAATGAAGAAGGACTAAAACTCATAAAAGCATTCTCTATCAATTTCAATTTCATGAGCATATGCTATGTTTTCAGATGCTAAAGAATTTTAATTAGTAAGAATAACCAATGCTAAAGAAAAATATATACATAACTGAAAATTATTGAAAATAATATTTTTATAAAAGAAAATTTGCAAATAAATTAATTAATTAGGGACGTTATCTACTTATCTAATAAGTCTTCCCAACTTTTCTAACTTATTCCTTATCACCTTTACAATTATCCTCTTCCTCTAAACACCCTATATGAATATATTTATATACATACAAAAATTTAAATTAATAAAGATGACCTCAATCAATTACAACAGTAAATATTCAAAAACACTAATATCTATATCTTA